TTTATTCTGTAAATACTATTTCCTTTAGTTCTTTGAACTTACTTAATATATTAATTACTCCAAAGTCTTTCTCTGTCTGCTAAATTCAACATCTGGGGGCACTCAAAGTCAGTTTACATGAACTATTTTTTTTACTGAGTATCAATCATACTTTATATTTATTTGCATATCTTGTCATCTTTTGTCAAAAACTGGACATTCCATACACTACACTGCAGCAACTCAAACTCTGATGTATTTTTCCCCTTAAGGCTGTTTTGCTGGTTTTGTTCAGTAACACACCTGGCTGGGAAATGTTTCCTCTGCGGTGTATAGCCATTGATGTCTCTGTTCACTTTCTTGTATATTTTAATATCCTTTTCCTGCTTCTTTTAAAGACTCACTTTAGCGATTGCCCCTGTGTCTCCATGGAGACTAGTTGTCAGACAAGTGGACATGGGTGGTATTCCAACATCTGAAATCACTAAGGCTTCTATCACTGCTGATGGATCTGTGCATAGGCAGGGAAGAGCATTCAAAGTTCTGGCCATTTCAGGGCCCTGGGTTTTACTTACTGCAAGGTCCTCTGTGTCTCCTGTGCTTGTACAGTCTCAGGATCACCCAGGAGCATGTAAACAGCTCAGCTCGGTGGCACCACTGGGCATGTGATCTCAGACAAGAATGAGCTTGCCTGCAGGAGAGCCAGACACCGGCCCTTCTCCACTTGTCTGCCTTTATAAGTTACTTCCACAGTGTCAGGCATGGGCGTCACCCCTACTCCATCCCTGCAGAGCCAGCCAGCAGTTCTTACCCCTGCCCCTCCCTGGCAGACACTCCACACAATACAGCTTGGGGAGTAAGGGAAGCAGCCCCTGGCCAAACACCACAGCTTCCCATTGTTCCTACCCAAAGTCTGGTAGTTTTTCAAAGCATAAATGTGCTTTGGATTAATGTGTGCCTCTGGCCGATTTCCAGAACACCAAGTGGCTGCTATTGTCAGTTCTGTCAGTTTTACAGTGGCTTTCTGTCAGGAAGAATTTGCTGATCTCACTTGATCACAGCCAGAAGCACCACCCTTCTCTATCTACTTTTAGCCCTACTTTCACAATCTTTTACAAGGGTTTTCTTTATTTTTTTATTTTGAAGCATTTCAAAGACCCCAAATTACAGAGAATATAATGAGCACGTATGTCCTCAACACTCAGCTCAAGAAATGAAACATTGCAGGTATGTGTGAGGCTCCACATTCACTTCTCCCTGATTGTGTTCCGTTTTTTCCTTTGCCAATGGGAACCACTGTCCTAAACTTGGTATTTATTAATCCAATGTATGTATTTGCTATTTCATACCTATATACATGCTTATAAAGTACTATTCTGTGTTTTCAAACTTTATACAAATGCTATTTGTATATATTCTACAACTTTTTCCTCATTATTATATTTTGGGGTTTATTCATTGTAAACACATGTAGCTTTAATTCATTGACATGTCACATTAACCCACTCTCCTGTGAAGGATATTGGTAAAACATGATGGATGCATGATAGAATAATTGGCTGCTATAGTACTGCAGTGAATACCCCTGTGCGTGTTCCTCACGCACATGTGCAAGAGCAAAGGGTCTAGCAAACCACACAGAGGGGCTGTGATGCTTGTGCAAGCATGAAATCTCCCCATTGGCTCCAACACCGATGGAGGTGGAAAGAGAAGTTCCCATGAGAAGTGTGAACAGTAGTGCCCTCCTCCATGGCAGGGATTCGTGGCCTTCCACAGTAACTGGATTTAGAGTCACAAGAGGACTCCCACACAGGTGGCGACTTGGTCCACACCATAGAGTAAATCATAGGAAAATCTGGTACTAAAACTGAGGTTTCCTGTCTTTACTTGATTCTCAAAGCAAGACCTGCAGGCCGATGGCATTCAAACTGTCAATCTGTTAAAAGTACAGAATCTTTTAAAAGTTCAGGCTGCTCCCCCAACCTTGGAATGAGAAACTGCATTTTAACAGATGCCCATTAAATAAGCAGTATGCACATTAAAGCCTGGAAAGCCCTCTAGAGGATGTGTCTAGGACTGAAGCTACTGGATCACAGTGCATGATGAGTTCCTCATGGTACCAGATAGGTCCAAATCTGTCTCCCAAGGGCCTGTATCAACTTACTTTCTCTCCGCATACTAATTTTCTGTGTATCTACCTACAGCATAAAGCCACTTCCTACTGCTTTCATGCGTGTTTCTACTCCATCTGCTTACAGAGGTTCTATTTCCCAGGACTATATTGTCCCACTCTATCCCTAATTTCCTTCCTTGTATTGTCAACACACTCAGTTGTGATAAGAGAGTCACACAGTCAAATAAAGTTGGGAAACTGTAGATTAGTAAAGTTTTTTATTGCAGGACTTCTTAGGGACCTCAACATGTTCATTATGGGCTATAAAAGTGGGATGCATTAAAGCATTTCTCAGAACTTATCTTACCATTTAGCTTTTTTCCATCAATCATCTCTAAACATTTCTGAATGAATCAATGTTGCATGGAACACAGATGGGAAATCTGTCTTAATGTATAGACTTCCCACCTTTTAAAAACAAAAGTTGTTTAAAAAAGGTATCAATTCCCTCTCTTACCCCCCAGATCTTCTCCTATATAGAAGACTCTCATTCTAAGCTACTTCTCTGCAGTTTTGAGTATGTAAAAAAACATCACTGGGAAAGAAAATATACATTTCGCTCAGCTGAATTTCTCCTAGTTTTCTTCATGTTTTCAGTAAGAAGAAATCAGCATGGAGTAAATGGTCGGGGCCAAAATCTCAAAAGGTTTTTCTTCCTTTTGAACAAACAGCTGAAAGCAAGCGGGCACTTGCTCTGAGACCTAAGCCGACAATCTGTCTTGAAGCCAGTGTTCCCACATGGGTGTCCAGCTAAGTTAGACTGCCTCCTATATGCAGGATGTCTGTTAGACTGCCCCTTACACATGGATGTCCAGCTAAATTAATAGACTGCCCCTTCACTGACTTTTGGTTCCTCCAAAGAAGTTAAAAAGTTACAGGACTCCAGTGATCTCTGCATAGTGAAAATCACACATTCCTTCTATTTTATTCTTTGGTTTCAGTTTTTCTACAATGAGCATGTGTTACTTTTGAAGTTAGAAAAAAAAAAACTTTTAGTTCTAAAATGCTTAATTTGAAAGGAAGAAAACAAGCCCTAGAGCAATAAACTTTAAATCCATCTCATTCTCCTATCAGGATACACACAAAAGTAAGGATAGCTTTCAATTAGGGTAAACAGGTCTTTGCAAGATGACTGTCTAAAAACTGATTATATAAAAATTAATGATACAATTCAAGTTACTTCTCTAGTGATTAGTAAGTCATTAAACTTTAAAATCTTTATGAATACAGAGCCAAACCTTAACTAGGCTCCAGCTTTAAGAAAAAGATGGGTGAACTTAGAGAATGTCAACAAACCTGAGCTGAGCCCCTCGTCAGGCCCTTGCCAGTGGGTCTCCTGGTCTGTACGGTGGGAAAGTACCAACACCATACACAGTTGTGGAAAAGCCTGGCCAAGAAAACATACATTAAAAAAACTCCTCTACATCATATGTCATCAGGGAACAAACTGATACAATCCATTAGAATGGTTGAACTCCAGACAACAGCAAATGCCAGAGAGGATACAGAGCAATGGGAATTATCCTTCACTACTGGTGGGAATGAAAAACGGTGCCGACAGCCCGGAGGATGGTTTGGCCTGTTCTTAAAAAATTACACATGCTCTTAATACAACTCAGCAACTGTGCTCCTGTGTGTTTACCCAAAGGAGCTGAAAACTTAGGTCCACACAAAACCTACACGTGGATGTTTACAAAGCAGCCCTTGCACATACCACTCAGACCTGGCAGCAACCAGGATGTCCCTCAGTAGGTGAAGGATAATAAACCGTGGCACTTCCAGACAAAGGAATTTACTCAGTACTCAAAAGAACTGAGCCATCAAGCCATGAAAAGATATGGAGAAACCTAAATGCACATTAGTATATAAAAGAAGCTAGTCTGAAAAGGCTACACAGCATCAACTTTATGACACTCTGGAAAAGGAAAACCTATGGAGACAAACAGTAAAAAGACAGTGGTTACCAAGGGTTGGGGGAGGGAGAGATGCCCAGGCAGAGCACAGAGGATCTTCAGGGCAGTGAGAACACTGTATGACACCACAATGATGGGCACACTTCATTATACACTGTCCAACAGCAGGCACTAATGTGAACTATGGGCTCTGGGTGATAATGCCATGTTACAGTAGGCGCATCAACTGTAACAAATGCAGCACTCTGGTGGGGTTGCTGATCAAGGGGGAGGCTCTGCATGTGTGGGGGCAGAGTATGGTATACGGGAAATCTTTGTATCTTCTGCTCAATTTTTCTGGGAACCTAAAACTGAGCTAAAAAATAGTCTATTAAAAACACAGCCCCCAAAAATCTCACAGTACAGTGCCCAGCACATACACAGTAAGTGCTCAATAAATTCCAACTGTTGTTATTAAAACAGTTAAATTATAGAAATCCTAAATCCTTTCACAAGAAATGAAGAAATAAAGAAATACTGTTACTACTGCTATCATACTAATTAAGTAAGGTTCAACATTTATCCTGATAAGATATAAAAAGCACCCTTGGCAAACAGGTAATCCTTGAGGATCCATGACAACCTGGATGAATGAGTCTAAATCAAATACATTATTTTTCAAAGTTATGAAGTAAAATGTAGATGTGCAATATGACAAAATTCAAAATGACAAACCTGGCTTAGTAAGAGCAAGTTTTATGGACTTTTATGCACATTTAAAAAAAAATTTAACTAAGGGAAAAAGACAGGTACCTCAATAAACAAATGGTTAATACTAAAATAAAATCATAGAATTATGTCGAAAAGAATATGCTTTCAGTGGATAGAATGCCTACCTATGAAAGCATTAACTTCTAAGGAAAAACAAAAATCTACATCCCCCCTTTTTTCTTTACCTGGATGAGTCATGGTGACTGGCTCCTCTTTGGATTTATTGTTGTAGATGACTACAGCAACTGCATTGTGGAAAGCAGCCCGTGATATTTTCTCTTTAAATGTGCAATTTCCCCTCTGCAGCAAGGCAATCCACTGTTTGATATTAGGAGGGATGAAGAACCGTGTTTGAGGATCACAGCCCAGATGATCAGCAACTAAACAGAAAACAACATACACACATCAATTTTTTCTCAAGTAAAGAAAGATAAATCAAACCAACTGAGTCTACCAAGGGCTCCACTGTTCCCTGAATGCTCCCTGGCTCTAAGGCACTTTGATAAGCAGCTAAATGCCAGCAGAACTATGAATACTTCCACCAAGGACAACGCAGTGAATCTGAATCCGTATCCACAGGGGGGTAGATGTGCCCTTAACGTTACCTGTAATGCAGATTAAAACGATGAAAAATTCTGTTTAACTTTATATAGCTTGGCAAAAATAAAAAAGACTGATAACATCCAGAAAAGAGAGAAGGAATAGACAGCAAAAAGAAAACCCTCAGAAACCAGGTGACTGATCCACCACCATGCTCCTCATCTGCACCTATCATTTCTCTCCCAGCTGCCGCACCACCACCACCACCACGCTGAGAAAAGAGGAGACTGATTTTGCTTGGGGTGAATGAGGAAGCCAAAAATAACCTTTGGTTCAGTTACCAAGTGGTCTTGTTGAAATTCAACCATGTTTGAACAAATTTCTTAGTGTCTAAAGAAATTGGAAAAGTTAAGTGTTGACCTGTATTTGAAAATTTAATGTTAAAATAATATGAAACTAGAACAAATAGATTATTCCTCTAATTTGTATTTATTGGAAGAAATTACAACTCCACATCAGGATATATATATCAACTCACAGCTACCTGTCTAACAAGATACATGAAGACACCAAGATACACTTTTGGGACTACTGATTATGTGACCACTGTTGTGGATTTGAGGGGACAGTTTGTTTCAAATACCCACAAGAACATCTGACTTGTCAGGCCACCCTCCTTAATTTTTTTGACTCTGCTTATGTGGTCATCACAGCTCTATCACCCTTTGTAAACCTTAAGCTGCAGCCCCTGCTGCTCTTCTCGCTCCCCATCCTCACATTTGTAACAGGTGAACATGAAAGGGAAGGCCAGCCCAGGCGGGGGAAGGACATCACACAAGGCCAGGTCTGAAGGCTGGCTGCCTACAGGCAGTACTGGAGGCCTGCAGGCCCTGGGCCTCCTGGTGGTCACGGCCAATACTGAGCGGGTCTGTGGGAGTGGGAGGGACGAGACACAGAGGGTAATGCTAGAAGCAAATAAATAATAAAAACATTGGATAAGTATTAATCAGTAATAAAAGTCTATAAAAAGACAAGACCAGTGGAGAAATGTTTGCTTTCCACATCCCTGGAAGCTTACTGCTTAGCAAAGAAGTGAAATGCTCATGCTAGTTAAAGAAACTATAAAATGCAGAGATGCTACGAACTTCAGAGAAATGTTCCATCTATCACTCCTACTTAAATACAGCTGACCTTCGAACAACCTGGGGGTTGGGGCATCAACTCCCAGGGGCAGCTGTAAAATCTGAGAATAACTTTTGACTCCCTTTAAATGCTTAAATGCTGATAGAGCCTACTGTTGACCGGGAGCCTGACCAGTAACAATTAGCACATATTTTGCATGTTGTATGTATCACATATTGTATCCTTACAACAAACTAGAGAAAAAATTTCAAATTGTCGCAAACCTCCAAAATATTTTCCAATACATGTTTATTGAAAAAAAATCCACATATAAGTGGACCTGCACAGTTCAAACCTGTGTTGTTCAAGGGTCAACTGTGATATCTTTCTCCAAATTCTCTTACCACAGTGAGCGGCTGCAAGGAGGGCACACTTGTGCCAAAGGTCTCTGAACACACAGTATGTGGGAGACAATGCTTTCTCAATTTGAAGCAATTGATATTGTCAACAGTTATTATCCTTTCCTTAAACAATTTTTGTACTCAGAAACTACAGTTCTTTCTCAATTAAATAGAGGGAAAAAAGCTTACATTACAATTTTAGTATCAACTACTGAAAGACACAGTCAAGGCTTTGTGAAACTCTGAAATCCTGAAACAGACCGCTGACTCACAGGGATGTCTGTTTCACAGATAATTATGCCACTTAAAATATAAGCAGTCAGGCGATGTGTTATGATAACCTCACACTGCCTTGGGAAAAGTTCCAATACTGGATCCAAACAGGGAGCAATCAACAAACTGGTTTTAAGTGTTTCATTTGTTATATTTCAAAACACACTGCTGCACAAACCCTGCAAGAAAATAAAGAATTGAGAAGAGCTAAAGAGATTTGTACACTTGTCTTTTGTGAAACACTCATTTTTCTGTGACTTATCCTGTTCCCCCTCAGATTTCATATGCATTCACTGGGCAGTAAAGACGAAACAGAGTCAGGGAATCAGCAAGACCTGGGCTCCAAATTTAATGGCACAAGTTCAGTTCTCTAATCTTCCATTTCTACTGGTTTATAAAGATTGAGATAAAATTCTTACCTCACAGGAGTTATGCATGTGAAAAAGGCTATATTTTTTCACATACTTGAGTGCTTAAAAATTTAGCACTTCAATTTGAGAGCTTAAAAAATTAATTCCCTTTCCTTTAGCGTTATGGGAGTCCTGCTAGCTTGTCCTAGTGAACAGAGGTGGTGCCGAGGCAGATGCAATCCACCCGCAGTTTGGCTCCTGGCAGCTCCTGCTCCTACAGCTCCTTTCTCTACGGCTCTGATGGGGCACAGTCCACTAAGCACGGCAGTTCAGGTACAGTCACAGTGGCTAAGACTGGAAAGAGGCAGGAAGCATAACAACAGAGCCCAGCCTATCACACACACTGGAGGACACCTTCAAGGTGCTCTTAAAGGGTTCCCCACCCACGAAGAACAGACTCCATGAAAAGCATGATCAAGACAGTCCAACAACAGACTATGAGCAAAAGAACATCCCTGTTCCCCAAATTCATGTGCAGAGGGTCTGAAACATCTGTACTAGTAAGAATGTAACATTCAGTAATAAACAGTAAGATATTTAAAGTCCTGTTCAAGGCAGTAGTTTTCATTACTTAGAAAAAGAAGAGGGGTTTTCATAATCACTTAAACCATAGTGTGCTTCTTTTGTCTATTACTTCCTGTAATCAAAAGTAACTTGAAGAATGACAATGTGAACAGCTGTAAGACAAATTCCCAAGAAGACTGATAACTTACTGATCAAGTGCCACTACTTCAAAATTTAATAGTTGTTCATACTTGAAGTAATTTATTAAGTAAAGATAGATTATGACATAAAATATCTATGTAATTATGAACTACCAAAATCTGTTAATAGCAATTTTGCTTACATTCAAAATCATTTTACTTCAGTTTTGTTTTTTTGCTTGCCAAATTCAGAAGAGGACATCACCTCTAACTTCTCTGCATTTATATGTTATTACAGTGTCAGGAAAAACTTATTAGCAGTAATCATGGAATAATAATAATATGTGAAATCATAGCTGATATAAAGTACTGCAAACAGTATCTTATAACTTTGTCAATCATACCTTAACAGAGCTGAAAAAATATTGCAGAGAAACTTAACTTCAATTTTTTTCTGTATGGCCTTTCCTACTGAGTACAGAAATAGTAATAAGAATTGTATTTACTCCTTGACAAGAACCAAACAATTCTTCACAGGAACAATCAGGGAATCCTCACTTGAATGAATATGAACTTAAATGCTCAGCAACATACTAAGTACCAAAGAGAAACACAATGGAACCAAACACCTAGGTGTGGACAGCTTAAAAGACCTCTAAATATACTAAGGAGGCATGCAGGGCACAGAAACTACCTACTGACAAGGCAGGATGAAGTACCATTGTGAAGCGCGCGTGGAGATTCAGGAAAGGAAAAGAGCAACATAATGGTAAACGTTTCGTGGGAGCTGGAACCCACATAGAACCTGGAAAATGGCTCAGGGGGGCAGAGATGTGGCCAGTGTAAACACACAACAAAGACACAGCCTCCTCAGCTCCTGTGAAATCAAGTGAGATGACACACAACAACGCTATGAGCTGCTTGAATTTAGGACAATCGAGTTCTAAAAAGACCCCATCTGTGACGGGAAAAGAGGAAAATATCCTGGCATAAAGAATGTATAAATATTTAAAGGGTTCTGCGAGTGAGTAAGTAAATAAACAAAATCTCTCTTCCCCCAAGAAGCCTGAAATTTTCCACTTTGATTCATTTGCCTTATAAGACCTCATCTCATAAAAATGCAAACACCCCACATGGTAAGCAGCGGTCACCACATCATTGTGTGGGCAATGTTCCCTTCCTGAGAACCCTCAGTCTGATGCCACCTCCCTAAGAGTCACGCAGGGCTGGGACACATGATGGAAGGTTGCTGCCCTCAGGCACACAGTGCAGCTGTCAAATGCACCTCCTGCTCCCAGGGCCTGTCCTTTGCCATGCCTGACTGACATGCCAGTCCCACCACTCCCTGGCTGGCCTCCTCCTAGGCCTCCGGATTCCACTCAAGTATCTTCTCCAGAATGCCTTCCCAGCCTCCTACGGCTGAGCTGGGTGCTTTATTCACGTTGCCATGGCACCATGAGATGACATCCATTTTGGCATTTATCACACCGTATCAGTAATTGGCTGTTTATTCCGAATCTCTCCTAGAGCATGAGATCAGCTTATTTTCCAATAGTCTGGCACCCAGCAGATGTGTGGCATGCTTGGTGAAGGGCGAAATGGAAGGACAGAGGGAGGGTAAGCACTGACATAAAGACAAAGCTGGTGGTGCCAAAGGTCTGTTTCACGTGAAAGTGTTCTGATGGGGTAATATTTTATCACCTGTTTCCTACAGAAGGAGTACAAATAAAAATGAGCCTGTTACCCTGGGTTTAGATGTTTTCACTGTCAGGCACGGTCTGGTTATTTGCTTTCCTATGTCCACATTAGATTATAATCTCTTTCATCTTTACATTTCCAGCTTCTACCTTGTCTTTCCTTATTTTCCCTTTGTTAAATTCTAATTTTATGATTCAAAATAAATAATACAGTTCTTTTTGTTTCCAATTTCTTAATTTTTAATATTCAGCTACTGGACTTGAATGTCCATATTTCAGCCCTTCATCGCTTC